GGAAAGCCCTTTCGGCGAGCTCATGGAATAATCGAGCTCGGCGGTCGTGGGGATGATCTCCGGAAGGACGATACTTAGACAGCAGCTGCCTGATCGTTTCCTGGCCTTCCTCAGAAAGGTAGTCAACCAGGGGAAGATATGCGTACGCGTCGATTCCGGTAGAAGACAGCGGGCCGCTCCGGCTTGTGGCGTAGTCTCGCATGGCTTTCTCTATAGCTTCTGGCTCTTCTCTGACAAGGGGGTCAAGAGTCTCCACACCATCCACAGTCTCGAAACTAGCGCCAGAGACGAGGTGGTCTTGGAGATTTTCTCCGACTCCAGGAAGGTCCTTAATAACTTTGATTTCATGGCTGTGAAGTATCGACTTATTCCCAATGCCCGATAGTTCGAGGATCTTTGGGGATTGGAAAGTACCAGCACAAACAATGACTTCCTTACTGGCGGTAACAGTTTCTGTCCTGTTGTTGTGCCGGTATTGAACCCCAGTGGCCCTGATGAAATCGGTAACTTCGAACAGGACTTTCTCGGCAGTCGCATTCGTAAGGACTTCCAGGTTAACCCTATGCTTGACAGGATTATAATATGCTGTAGCTGCGTAACTCCTTTCCTTCTTTACTGGATCGATGCTCGAGATACAGCTGAACGCCCCAACAGAAATCCCCCGGAGCGGATCACTTGATACATGATAATCGCTTTCCTTGAACGTGGCGATCCAGGCTTCGCGGACAGGATGATCCGGATTGCCGGCGAAAGTGAGTCGGACTGGGCCGTTTGGAGCTTCGTATGCGGGATACCCATCTATCCCTAGCTTCTTCCTTGAGGACTCTTCAACGGAGGGCGGTGTAAATACTTTAACATAGTACTTGCGGAAGATACTCGAATCCCATCCCTCGTTGCCAAGTGCACCCCAAGAGCTGATTGATCCATCGGTGGGAGGGGCGAAGACTTCGGCATTGATGGCGCTTGACCCACCAAGAGCCTTGCCTTGATGCAAATCGACCGACCTTCCATTGAGATTTGGCTGGAACTCAGGTTAGTTTTAGACATCCTAGTTGAAAGAAGGTCTTCCGTACTTGAGGTTCCGAATGAAAATTCCAATCCACCTCTGTCCCCATCAAGGCCCGATACAGCGCCGGTGTCTTCACTCGTGGATCATCACTGACATCGGCACCGGCTTCCAATACGAGGATACGTTGACTTGGGTCTTCAGACAGACGATTAGCCAGTACAAGGCCTGCAGTTCCTCCCCCTATAATTACAAAGTCGTAGTCTGCGGAATCCATAGTCGAGAAAGACGTCCTAGGCAATTATAGCTAGGTAAGCGTTGAAATTGAGTAAAAGCATAAGAACATTCGGAAAACTACACTAAATAAGCCGGATATGTTGGTTGTTGGGAGCTCAAAACATAGGTTGGTTCGCTCCTTTACCTACCTCCTCCCTGGCACCTAAGAGATAAGTATCATTGGTCATTTCCCCCCTTCCATGTTCCAACGGAGTTCCACCACAATTCACTGGCTTGGTACTTCTATGTCGAACCACCAGATTTATTCTGCCTATAGACTCGAGTATTTCTAAGGTGGGAGTACATCAGCTTGTTTGATGTTTCTCTAGTTTTGGGGCGGGGGAATTTCAACTTACATTAAGAAAACTACCGAGCTGCTCCAACTCCTGTGGCATTGCCGAAGCAGTTACGTTGCTAATGAAGCTCGCGCTCTTCATCATAATACTAGCCAAACTGATATTTCCTAGGTGTAGAGAGACAACGCAGTCGAGCGAGCCATGAAACAACCCATTCATCCAGCGCGTGAATATGAGCGACCCTCGGCGTCATAGTATGCATCACCAAGGCTCCTTGCTCCAGGGGCCACGTGTAGACGAGGAGCGCGCCCGCTTGGAAAGCCGCGGTGGCTATGGTGGTCGCAACTAAGTCCGTGAAGGGGTACGCGGTATATAGTACGTTCGCATAGAAGCTACGGCAACTCTCGATGATAATGCCGTTTCCGTTACCCGTTGCTAAAGGGATCATATGGTCCAACCGGTCAGGATGAAAAGGCAGGCCGCGACAGATGACCCCATGAGCCGTTCATAACTTCATTTGCCACGAAGACTATAATCGTGTAGACCTTTCATGAAATTTAACAGCCATAGCTAGGTATATGCCTTTGATTAGATCCTTGGCCCTATGGATCGTGAAGGGATAGACCAGTCATCATTGTTAGCGTTGAGGCAGAAGCGCGCAAGAGTAGCACTTCACTGTAAGTACTAATAAGTCGGTGCGAATGAAACATGACGTTAATCTCAAGCTGCAATATCAATTCAGATCCCACCATCAGCTATGCGTGTCGGCTAGTCGTTCCGAGCTAGCTCATTGGGTCTGGAAGCCAGGAAACGATCACGCAACTTTATCCCCGAGCACGTCAGCCTCGCTTGCAGGGTATCGTCGCAACAACGCGCAATCAAGATGGGGTATATCATAGTACAAATCAGCATTAAAATGCGTTACACACATTTGGCCCCGGACCTCGCGACCGGCCAGTCGGCGACGCGTGTAATTCATTGGCTGAGGCTATCAGCTGCAGGCTGAGATATCGCGATATTTAAGGACTGAACCTCACGGTACCAGACCCCTGGGAGTGAAAGTTCGCCGCATCCTTTTCCACCGTCATTCTCGCTGAGAACGAGTTACCCAGGACCCAGTATGGTGCTCGAAAAGACTTTTGAGACTGCCGTGGCAGCTGGTCATGGCGATGAGGAAGCCGCCCCTGTCAATGTCGACGAGTCCACTGTAGCAGATTGGACTGAAGCAGAGGAGCGCGCTGTGAAGCGGAAGTAAGATATCTATCAAAACATCCATCCATCATCATAATTGAGCCGGCTTTCTAACCGTGCTTAGACTCGATTTCATCTTGCTTCCTATCCTAGGCCTGGCCTTTTTCGCGCTGCAGATGGACCGAGGGAACATCTCGAACGCCTTGACCAGCACCATTACCAAAGACCTCGGTATCGACACGAATCAGATCAATGTTGGGAACAGTCTCCTATCGGCGGGCATCGTACTCTTAGAGATCCCTTCCAACGTCTTGCTGCAGCGCGTAGGGCCTCAGAAATGGCTATCTTTCCAGATTGTCGCTTGGGGCTTGGTGGCCACCTTTCAGAACTTCATCACGAACTACGGAAGCTATATCGCTACTCGGCTGTTGCTTGGCTTGGTATGTAGGATGTATCACGAACCTGGCGCGTTTACGCATCGGATTCTAACGTTCATTTGTGCAGTGTGAAGCGGGCTTCATCCCTGGTTCACTTTACACGATGTCGACGTGGTACAAGAAGTCTGAGTCGAGCCTACGGATCTCGATCTTCTTCCTCGGAAATCTCATTGCGTCGGCTACTACGTCCTTGATCGGAGCCGGTATCCTCAGCATGGGAGACAGGTACGGAGTTGCTGGTTGGAGATGGCTTTTCATAGGTGAGCTCACCTCCCCAACGCTTCTTCTCATAAGACTCTTGGGATCTAACCCGAAGGCTTTCCCTTCGTAGTCGAAGGAGCTATCACAATCGGAGTCGGCATTATCTTCATCCTTTTCCTTCCGCCAAAGGTCGGGAACGGCTCTCCGCTCATTAGCTTCGGCCGATGGTCGTATTTCAACCGGCGCGAGTCGTACATCCTGGTCCGTCGCGTGCTTCTCGACGACCCGGCCAAGACAACGAACCACTTGCGCATCTCAGGCAGCGACGTCTGGACGACGGTTAGGAATCCTAGGATCTTGGTGCACATTATCATCACGATAACAAGCACGATCCCCGTGAACGCGATCAACACGTACGGCCCGAGCGTCATCAAGAGTCTAGGCTACGGCACCGTGAGGGCGAATGCGATGGCCAGCGTCGGGTCGTTCATCGCCGCCGCGGTGACGGTGATCCTAGCTTGGGTGTGCGACAGCACGAGGAAGAGAGCGCCGTCGTTGTTGATAGCCGCAGTCTGGAGTCTGATTGCGTTTGCGTGCTTGAGAGAGGCGTGGAAGTGGAGCGCAGGAAGGGAGTACGCGGCTGTTGTCTTCTCGATGGCCATGAACTCTACCGTTCACATTCTTAATGTCGGTTGGCTGTCTGTGAACTGCCAACGTCCGCAAGAGCGAAGTGTTGCCATGGCGTAGGTGCCCGTCTTTTCTCGCCCGAAGCTCCTCGTCTACCTATTGCGCATTTAGGACGCTAACTCCGTAATATAGTATGATCATAATGGGCGCCAATGCGGGCGGCATCGCTGGAAGCCAAGTATTCCGCACGCAAGATGCGCCTCTCTACCAGAACGCCTTTACTGCCTGCCTGGCGCTTTCTGCGGTGGCGACGGTGGAGATTATAGGACAGAGCGCTTGGTATTTCATTAGCAATAGGAAGTTGGATAAGCAAGGAGATGGTCCTGTCGTGGTCGGCAAGACGGACGAGACGCCAAATGGAGAGAAAGTCGAGTTAGTAAGGAAATGGAGGTGGACATGGTAGGCAGTTTTCAAATGTAGGCAAACTCAGGATCTTGCAATATAAAAATTGACATCGACATTGCCGACGCCGAATCAATAGGAAATGAAGTGAGAGTTGTGCCAAGGAATAGCTCTCATGTATGAACTGAATAATAACTTGGTATTCGGAGGCTAGCTTCATTACCTTCCTGGTTCACTCACAGATTCATATCAACACTACACCATTTCGTACATACTGTAGATCAGCCCTATGGCGATAACTCGCTCTTTTACAAACGTGGATATCCTGAAGGCTTGAAGAATCTTGCTTGTCAGCTTGTGTGGCTTGGGAGCTTACGTGGGGTCTCCATCTTGGCATTCAATCCTGTACCTATGCGTGGAGCTCAGCTCGAAGAAGTGAGCGGTGAGCAAGGACCAATCGGCTAATTAGGGCAAGTTCTGCACACTTTAGATATAAGCCGTCTTTCCAGATTTCGATCCTCAACGAATCAGATCCAGCGTATCAAGCTAAGGTCAGATCACCACGGGCTTGTGGTTTAGTGGTATAATACTCCCTTAGCACGTGACGAAGCCTGCTTAAGTCCGCCTAAAATGGGAGTGGTCCGGGGTTCGATTCCCCGCGAGTCCATCAGTAGGAGGTTAGATTCCTCCTGTACCATCTTTTTGGATCCTTTTATCGTCGTTAAATGTTTGGATATATGAACCACAAGTGAACTTCACTTTTTACAGGATCTCTTGCTTGGGCTGGTCATAAGAGCCCTACAGATCACATCGTAAAGAGTTTATGTCAATGGACTCAGTTCCTCGCCTACGAATAATGACAAAGGATACATATCAGCTAAGACTATGTTCTTCGCCGCCTTTTAGCCGGCCTCTGCAATATCAGAATACGTAAAGAGTTGCCGATTACGAAGCGGTAGATCGCTCCAAAACGACGCTCTGACATCAGCCGGCTTCATCCTCTTTCTCTTGCAGGATCATTACGACGAAAATCTATTAGATTATTCATGTGCGATGGAAGACTCCGTCAAAACACGATTGGGACTGCCACGCTCAGGGATTTCATACTGCGATAATATCAGGAATGCGAATTCGTATTCGGGATCGTGAGTAGGAAGCTGGAGTTTTAGACATGATTGAATCACGTGCAAAACATGGGAATTCTTGGGCGGCGTTAAAGCCACTTGCATTCCAGCCACATCATGGTGGGACGCTGTCGTGGCTTGTCGGACTCGTATTCGGATTCAGGGGAGAGTTCAGTGCTTCAGCAGAGGGACGGGCCAGAACGGCTTAGGCCGCCCCTGTCTCCGCCTTCCTTTGAGCTTGTCAGGCACAATCTTATTGGTCAACGCTAGCTCAAGACTTAGCTCGAGCTTAAGGGCAATTCTGCATTGAAATTGGCCAAGCAAATTGGAAAAGGGTCCTGCGGGCTTTGCGTGGATCCCTGCAATCAATTGTCGATAACGATAGGTACAGGAAATAAATAATAAATGTTCGTCTGACGCCCCCTTTCTTGCACCTCTCGCACCGCTTGCACCGCTTCTCTCGATACTGTATCGCCTGCACCAATTCTTCCGTCTCTCCTATTATCCTATTCTCCCAGTCGCTGAGTTACGGTGTTTGACCATCTGTTATCATATTCTCAATAATCAATTGTCCTAATTACCACCGAAATCATTCAACATGGCGCCCTCAAAGATCGAACTCGAGAAGCAGGACAGAGCGCGCGATGCCGCCTTCAACAAGGCCATGCACGGCAACACCGCCAAGTCGACTGGAGGTTTCCGTGCCATCATCGGGAAGAACTCGAGCGCGCAGAAGGCTGCCATCGACGAGTACTTCAAACACTGGGATCACAAGGACGCCAAGGACGAGACAGAAGAAGACCGCGCGAAGCGAACAGCCGAATACGCTACTCTGACTAGACAGTATGCCATGGAAACGCGTTTACCTTACTCCTTTTTCACAATGCTAAGATTCTTTGTAGTTACTATAACTTAGCAACGGATCTGTACGAGTACGGTTGGGGGCAGTCCTTCCACTTCTGCCGATATTCCATTGGCGAGACATTCTACCAAGCCATCTCCCGACATGAACACTACCTCGCACACCAAATTGGTATCAAGGAGGGCATGAAGGTGCTGGATGTCGGCTGTGGTGTTGGTGGCCCTGCTCGAGAGATTGCCAAGTTCACCGGCTGCCATGTCACCGGCTTGAACAACAACGACTACCAGATTGAGCGTGCCACACAATACGCCGCTAAGGAGGGTCTATCACACCAACTGGCATTTGTCAAGGGTGATTTCATGGTGAGTCCTGCTAGCGCAAGCTGTCGTAGTCTAATTCGGCGTAGTCAGGATACTAACTTGGGCTACAATAGCAAATGGACTTCCCTGACAACAGCTTCGACGCGGTCTACGCCATCGAGGCTACGGTCCACGCACCCAAGCTCGAGGGCGTCTACAGCGAAATCTTCCGCGTGCTGAAGCCCGGTGGTGTCTTCGGCGTGTACGAATGGCTCATGACCGACGAGTACGACAACGACAACCTCGAGCACCGCGAAATCCGTCTTGGAATCGAGCAGGGCGATGGTATCTCTAACATGGTTAAGGTCTCTGAGGGTCTTGAGGCCATGAAGATCGCAGGCTTCGATCTTCTACACCACGAAGACCTTGCTGAGCGCCCCGACCCCATCCCGTGGTACTGGCCTCTTGCCGGTCAATGGAAGTACATGCAGTCCGTTTTCGACGCGCCTACCATCGCGCGGATGACGTGGTGGGGTCGCGCACTGGCGCACAACTTTGCTGGTGTTCTAGAGCTGACAGGATTGGCGCCCAAGGGCACTAAGAAGACGGCGGACAGTCTGGCTCGTGCGGCCGACTGCTTGGTCGCCGGTGGAGAGAAGCACCTCTTCACGCCCATGTACCTGATGGTTGGAAAGAAACCGGAGAAATGATGAGCATCAACTTGCGGTGATGCTACGGAGTGAGGAGGACATCGTGCTTATGAGCACAGGAATGAATAAAGAAGCAACGTCGAAAACTTGTTAATATTAATAATACGGAGCTACAGTACCAGAAGGGTCCTCGCTAGCTGTTATTGGGGCACTGCGGCTCCAACCTCTTTGTATGGACATACAACACTGACCTATATATACCCTACCTACCGTATTGGAGGAAGCCTTCTGTTACATGCGTCAGGTATTAGGTAGCATCAAAGAAAAGAGAATAGAGTAATTAGAAAGTTCCATACTAGTCTTGATCAACGGTTTGAAGTATTTCCTAAGATCAGTTGTTGATATACTACCTAATTTAGGCGGTTGGTTTCGACACAAAACATGACGCTCACTAGACTCCTCTGTTAGGTTTGCTTAACATAATAGCGGTAAATAATATCAACACATGTATGGATCATATTAGTCTTAAATTCAGTTCGAATTGACCACTAACATGGTTGATAGCTAAGAATACCTAGATATCTACGGATTACCCCCAACGGAGGAGTCCCCCATCGGCTTCCGTTACGGCGTTAATGACGGTGGTGAAGGGGTGAGATGGCCAGCGCACTACACGCCAGTCAACGAACAAAAAGTCTCAATATAATAACGACGGATAGGGATTGGTATATGGTTAATTATGAATTTTAGATTTATACGTATGGATGGCTTGAATAAGGGTTGTTTCGTGCTCCGATGCTGTAGATAAATTCGAGATACGGATCTGTAGGTACCCGTAAAGGGCCAGAAGTGACCGGGACTGGGGATTTCAGAGCTCCGATACCTAGAGGGCTAATCCCGATCTAGCCTAGCGTCAGCTCTCACCTCAACAAGCTGTTCCTATTCCATCCGAAAAAAAAGTTGGGAGACACGCGAATTGATAGCAACTCCAAAAAAACGGCTTACGGAGAAAATCGCTCTTCCACCTCCTGTACCTTACCATCACCACCACCACTCACCACCCTCGTCACCAGCGACAAACCACGCCAACTTCGAGTCGGCTGGAGGTTCGGTCTCAATTGATTTGTGTTCTCTTGCCCTTTTCTGTCCTACCCCGTCCATCCTCTCCGTACGATCCCATCTCCGCCGTCATCATGTCGCGCTATCTTCGTCCGGCGGCTCGACTAGCTGCCTCTGCTCGCACCGCCGCAGCTCCCAGAGCCCTTACCCGGCTCGCCCCTGCTCCTTTTGCCATATCTCAACGGAGGACGTTTGCCGATGTCAAGGGAACCAAGGAATATACTGTCCGTGAGGCCCTCAACGAGGCCATGGCCGAGGAGCTCGAAGCAAACGAGAAGGTTTTCATTCTCGGCGAGGAAGTCGCCCAGTACAATGGTGCATACAAGGTTACGAAGGGCTTGCTGGATCGATTCGGCGAGAAGAGAGTCATCGATACCCCGATTACGGAAAGTGGTTTCTGTGGTTTGGCCGTTGGTGCCGCGCTGAGTGGTTTGGCTCCTATAGTGAGTAGAATTGCAAACGGCCCGGGTGAAGGATAAGCGAGGGTTAACCGGAGATATCAAACTTAGTGCGAGTTCATGACTTTCAACTTCGCCATGCAAGCTATCGACCAGATCGTCAACAGCGCTGCCAAGACCCTCTACATGTCCGGTGGCATTCAGCCTTGTAACGTCACCTTCCGTGGCCCCAACGGTTTCGCCGCCGGTGTGGGCGCCCAGCACTCCCAGGACTACAGCGCTTGGTACGGTTCGATCCCCGGTCTCAAGGTCGTCTCTCCCTGGTCTGCCGAAGACGCCAAGGGTCTGTTGAAGGCTGCCATCCGCGACCCTAACCCCGTCGTCGTCCTCGAGAACGAGCTCATGTACGGTGTATCTTTCCCCATGTCCGAGGCCGCGCAGAAGGACGACTTCGTTCTTCCGTTCGGCAAGGCCAAGATCGAGCGCCAGGGCAAGGATCTCACCTTAGTCTCCCTCTCCCGTACCGTCGGTCAGTGCATGGTTGCTGCTGAGGCTCTGAAGAAGAAGTATGGCGTGGACGTTGAGGTTATCAACTTGCGATCAGTCAAACCTTTGGACGTAGAGACCATCGTCAAGTCCGTTAAGAAGACCCACCGCCTCATCTCGGTCGAGTCCGGATTCCCGTTTGCTGGTGTCGGCGCTGAGATCCTCGCCACAACTATGGAATACGCCTTTGACTACCTAGACACTCCCGCGCAACGAATTACCGGTGCCGAAGTCCCCACGCCCTACGCTGAAGGTCTCGAAAAGATGAGCTTCCCCGACGAGCAGCTCATCGAGAACTTTGCCGCGAAGGTGCTACGTGTTTAAAATGAGGACGAGGATGAGGATTAGGACTAGCAAATAGACGGGGAGTTTGAGGCATGATGAGCAATGTACAATATTAATCGTTTACTGCCTGGTACAATTCTTTACTGGATTAGGTGTCTCAAAGATGGCGGAATCATTCCTACAATGAAAAAAGGATACCTCGACTTTGGCATACCTCATGTCGTGCTTTGCTGATTACATGCTACCTAGGATGGAAATCGTAGGCTTCGAGGATGATTTACTGAGTATCACAGAATTGGCCGAATGGACTAGTATGAACGAAGTCCTTCGTATGCGGTTACAGTGGCGTGGTACTACCTAGCATTCTACTTTGAGACGGATGGG